CATGGATGCAAAAATTCTCAACAAGATACTAGCCAATAGGATCCAACAACACATTAAGAAAATTATTCACCATGACCAAGTAGGATTTATTCCCGGGATGCAAGGCTGGTTCAACACTCGTAAAACAATCAATGTGATTCATCATATCAGCAAGAGAAAAACCAAGAACCATATGATCCTCTCATTAGATGCAGAGAAAGCATTTGACAAAAGACAGCATCCATTCCTGATCAAAACTCTTCAGAGTGTAGGGATAGAGGGAACTTTCCTCGACATCTTAAAAGCCATCTACGAAAAGCCCACAGCAAATATCATTCTCAATGGGGAAGCACTGGGAGCCTTTCCCCTACGATCAGGAACAAGACAGGGATGTCCACTCTCACCACTGCTATTCAACATAGTACTGGAAGTCCTAGCCTCAGCAATCAGACAACAAAAAGACATTAAAGGCATTCAAATTGGCAAAGAACAGGTCAAACTCTCCCTCTTCGCCGATGACATGATACTGTACATAGAAAACCCAAAAGCCTCCACCCCAAGATTGCTAGAACTCATACAGCAATTTGGTAGCGTGGCAGGATACAAAATCAATGCCCAGAAATCACTGGCATTTCTATACACTAACAATGAGACTGAAGAAAGAGAAATTAAGGAGTCAATCCCATTTACAATTGCACCCAAAAGCATAAGATACCTAGGAATAAACCTCACCAAAGAGGTAAAGGATCTATACCCTAAAAACTACGGAACACTTCTGAAAGAAATTGAGGAAGACACAAAGAGATGGAAAAATATTCCATGCTCATGGATTGGCAGAATTAATATTGTGAAAATGTCAATGTTACCCAGGGCAATTTACATGTTTAATGCAATCCCTATCAAAATACCATGGACTTTCTTCAGAGAGTTAGAACAAATTATTTTAAGATTTGTGTGGAATCAGAAAAGACCCCGAATAGCCAGGGGAATTTTAAAAAAGAAAACCATATCTGGGGGCATCACAATGCCAGATTTCAGGTTGTACTACAAAGCTGTGGTCATCAAGACAGTGTGGTACTGGCACAAAAACAGACACATAGATCAATGGAACAGAATAGAGAACCCAGAAGTGGACCCTGAACTTTATGGTCAACTAATATTCGACAAAGGAGGAAAGACGATCCACTGGAAGAAAGACAGTCTCTTCAATAAATGGTGCTGGGAAAATTGGACATCCACATGCAGAAGAATGAAACTAGACCACTCTCTTGCACCATACACAAAGATAAACTCAAAATGGATGAAAGATCTAAATGTGAGACAAGATTCCATCAAAATCCTAGAGGAGAACACAGGCAACACCCTTTTTGAACTTGGCCACAGTAACTTCTTGCAAGATACATCCACGAAAGCAAAAGAAACAAAAGCAAAAATGAACTATTGGGACTTCATCAAGATAAGAAGCTTTTGCACAGCAAAGGATACAGTCAACAAAACTCAAAGACAACCTACAGAATGGGAGAAGATATTTGCAAATAACATATCAGATAAAGGGCTAGTTTCCAAAATCTATAAAGAACTTATTAAACTCAACACCAAAGAAACAAACAATCCAATCATGAAATGGGCAAAAGACATGAAGAGAAATCTCACAGAGGAAGACATAGACATGGCCAACATGCACATGAGAAAATGCTCTGCATCACTTGCCATCAGGGAAATACAAATCAAAACCACAATGAGATACCACCTCACACCAGTGAGAATGGGGAAAATTAACAAGGCAGGAAACAACAAATGTTGGAGAGGATGAGGAGAAAAGGGAACCCTCTTACACTGTTGGTGGGAATGTGAACTGGTGCAGCCACTCTGGAAAACTGTGTGGAGGTTCCTCAAAGAATTAAAAATAGACCTGCCCTACGACCCAGCAATTGCACTGTTAGGGATTTACCCCAAAGATTCAGATGCAATGAAACGCCGGGACACCTGCACCCCGATGTTTCTAGCAGCCATGTCCACAATAGCCAAACTGTGGAAGGAGCCTCGGTGTCCATCGAAAGATGAATGGATAAAGAAGATGTGGTTTATGTATACAATGGAATATTACTCAGCCATTAGAAACGACAAATACCCACCATTTGCTTCAACGTGGATGGAACTGGAGGGTATTATGCTGAGTGAAGTAAGTCAATCGGAGAAGGACAAACAGTGTATGTTCTCATTCATTTGGGGAATATGAATAATAGTGAAATGGAATATAAGGGAAGGGAGAAGAAATGTGTGGGAAATATCAGAAAGGGAGACAGAACATAAAGACTCCTAACTCTGGGAAACGAACTAGGGGTGGTGGAAGGGGAGGACGGCGGGGGGTGGGGGTGAATGGGTGTCGGGCACTCTGGGGGACAATTGACGGGATGAGCACTGGGTGTTATTCTGTATGTTGGTAAATTGAACACCAATAAAAATTAATTTATTAAAAAAAAAAGAATTCTTCCTCTAAGGAAGAAAGTTGTTTAGGGTCCATAGTTTAGCTTGGAGTAAGAAATTTTTTTTAAAATTTTTATTTATTTATGATAGTTACAGAGAGAGTGAGCCAGAGACACAGTCAGAGGGAGAAGCAGGCTCCTTGCACCGGGAGCCCGATGTGGGATTCGATCCCGGGTCTCCAGGATCGCGCCCTGGGCCAAAGGCAGGCGCCAAACCGCTGCGCCACCCAGGGATCCCTGGAGTAAGAAATTAATAAGCCAGTGAAACAAGTCAATCAGAGAAAGACAATTATTATATAGTTTCACTCATACGAGGGATATAGGAAATAGTGAAAGGGATTATAAGGGAAAAGGGGGAAAATCAGTGGAAAAATTTAGAGAGGGTGACAAAACATGAGAGACTCCTAACTCTGGGAAATTAACAAGGGATAGTGGAAGAAGAGGCAGGCGGGGTATGGGGTGACTGGGTGATAGGCACTGAGGCAGGCACTTGACCGGATGAGCACTGGGTGTTATACTATGTGTTGGCAAGTCGAACTTCAATAAAAAAAAAATATATATATATATATATGTATATATATATTTGCATGCATGCACATACTGGAGATACATACATACATATATACACTGAATATATGTATATATTTTTATATGTTCATATATAAACATATATTTATAATTTTTACATATACATATATATAAATTTATACATATATAAATAAATAAGCCATTCTTGCTCTTTCCTCCTACTTGTGACACTTGATTTAAATAGCACTTTCTTACAGAGAAAAATAACTAATGTGGCAATCCTTTAGAGATATCTATGTTTACAACTGGATATGGTAGTAACAGAGATGGAGATGGCTCTTTCACTAAGACATCTATTTTTGAGCTTAAACCAGATACAGAGTATTTGGAATAGACATCTTCGGTGAAGACCTGGATTCTCTTGACACTGGGAGCTCTGAAAATGCTGACAATACACGATCCAAACCTCATGAGGGCTACCCTACCCTGCATGTGGAACTGGATAAAGCATGACTGAATATTCAAGAGGAAAGTATACAGCAAGCATATAAACCTCAAAGGGAAAATCTGGTGTTTAATAGACAAATAAAACCCTTCCTCCAGGAGTATTTGGGCCTGCTCTTAGAACATACTTTTTCAAAAGTATACATAACCACAAGAGATAAAATACCAGATTTTTGAAGTAGTGCCAAGTGTATCTAAAAATCCATAAACTTGGTGTGATGTTACAGAAGCAAAACCGCTGGTCTTCATAAAAAGACCTAGGATGAGGCCTGTTTTAGGGAAACTCACGTGGACATATAGGCCACGTGTAAGCCAGGGTCTAAAGCACTGAGATTTTCAGTTGTCTCCCAAAATTATGTCAAGAATGCTATTAATCAGTATTATTAATTCAGATCCCACTAATTTGGAATTGATCATTTTAGAATGCAGCAGATCCAAGTTTATCTATGAAAAGGGAGGTGGCTGAGTATTATAAATAGATCTAACTGGGGTGTGGGTTGGGGAGAGCAAATGTTATAACCTATTTCTTTAATTTTTAAAAGGGACGCCTGGGTGGCTTAGCAGTTGGGCGTCTGCCTTTGGCTCAGGGCATGATCCCGGGGTCTGGGGGTCGAGTGCCACATTGGGCTCCCTGCGGAGGGCCTGCTTCTCCCTCTGTCTGTGCCTCTGCCTCTCCTTGTGTGTCTCTCATGAAGGAATAAATAAATAAACTTCAAAAAACTAATAATATTTTATTTATTTGAGAGAGAGAGAGCACAAGCAGGGAGAGTGGCAGGAAGAGGGAGAGGGAGGCAGGAGAGGAAGCAGGCCCCCTGCTGAGCAGAGAGCCTAATGTGGGACTTGATCCCAGGACCCTAGAATCATGACCTAAACCAAAGGCAGATGCTTAGCTGACTGAGCCACCCAGGCATATAGTTTTACTTTTTTTCCTAAGCCACCAAGAACCCATGCACCCATGCTAATAATTAAGGATATTTCTCAGGCAAATGTTGGGGTCCCCATTGGGAATAACATTAGCTTATATCCTATAACTGACCATATATAAAGGTAAAATTTCCTTTTAGGTCATTCTGCAATTCAATTACCTGCTATACATCATCTCTACAGTCCCTCAACAGGGTCTTAATTCTCAACTGTGATAATATTTTCACTTTGTTCTCATCCTATAGCAGTGAGGGTGGAAAAGTTGGGGAGGTTGATCATTAAGAAAGATGCAATAATAGAACCAGACTAATATCTGAGCAGGAAAGGAACATTTCTAAAGTTAAATCCCATTCTAGAACAATAATATACTTTCTCTTGCCTATATTATGGGCTGCTTAACATGCATATACTGGTTGCTTAATCAGCAAAGGCCATAAATCACCCTCCAGACTCTTAAGTGGGAGGAGGGGTGCCCCAGATTCATCCATTTAAACCAATTATTAAAGAAGCATAGCCTTCTTTGGACAAGGAGAACTATGGGTGCTGGATGTACACCTGGCATGGCAACAGAGGAGTAGCTCATTGCTGTTTAAAGCAGCCTGCCTCATTGGTGCTGCCCTTGGAGATACCTATGTCCCCAGAGATGCCCATGCTCCCAACAAAACTCATAGCCTCAGAGAGGCTGATGTCTCCAGAAGAGCCCATAGCCTCAGAGATGCCTGTGGCCTCATTGATGTCCCTAGATTCAGAGATACCCATGTTTCTAGATAGTCCCATATCCCAGAAATGTTTATGGCCTAAGGCTGCCTATGATCCCACAATAGTCGTGATGAAGGTCTGCACATTGGTTTTCACTTGATCCATCTGAGCTCAGAGGTTTCCTTCCCTGGACAGGGTATCATTCTCCACCAAGGTGTTCAGGTCTCCATCAATACCCATAAAGCCAACAGGATTGGTCAAAGGACTTCCCAGATTCTGTGATAATAAATGTCCTAATTGAGAGCATGTACAGACTTCTTGTGGCTCATCATGGGCTTGTTGTTTCTGACATGGGAACAAGGAATGTTTGAAAAGAATTAGGAACAGAAGGAAAGCTAAATAAATAATACAATGACCTTCAGGGATCCTGCTGCTGTTACTAATATGGTAGAGCATAAGTTTTTGCCCCCTCCTTACACCCAAATATCTTTTCTTCATCACTTGACATAGTGCTTCATAGTGCTTTTTTTTGAAGTTAAAGAACATTTTATTTATTGACAGATTAAAAACCACAACTCCAAGTAGTGCAAAATGCACCAAGGAACCCAAATACAAAGAACTGGTGTTAATACACAAAGTTTAAGCAATGCTACACTTATTTTTGGCAAAGTGCTGTATTGTTTAGTCTGTGTATAAAACTGACCATCTATGAACCAATCGGTATAAAAAATCCTATAAAAACAGAAAAAAATTTATAGACAGTGGCTCAAGAAAACAAGCTGCCATTTATGCATAGATGATGTACAGTATATAATCTAACCAAATGTCCCTTTTGAGTTTTCAAGTTGAAAAAAATTTGTGTCCAGAAATACATCAAGAAGGCACATAGTATAATAATCTACAATACTCTTCAGTCCCTACCACTAAAGATCCTCAAGGGTCTAGTATTGATATAAGTCTTCTTTTCTGATAAATACAATTTTATTACTGGAAGCAGGGAGGGCAAGGAAGAGGATCACTAAGATTTACTAAATACCTCTATGTGCTGGAGACTTTACATATAGTATTTCCTTTTATACTTATAAGAATCCTATTGATTAGGTATTAGCTATATTTTACAGATGAGAGAACTGAGGCTCAGAGAATTTAAGTAAGACTAAAATTCACACATTTAGGAAATGGCAGACCTGGAATCTGACCCTGCCTCTTAATGCCAATTTCAAAGACCTAACACCTCATCCTACCTCCAATGGATGTTTTCACTTTAAAGGATAACAAAAGGGGATCCCTGAGTGGCGCAGCGGTTTGGCGCCTGCCTTTGGCCCAGGGCGCGATCCTGGAGACCCGGGATCGAATTCCACGTCGGGCTCCCTGCATGGAGCCTGATTCTCCCTCTGCCTGTGTTGCTGCCTCTCTCTCTCTCTGTGACTATCATTAATAAATAAATAAAATCTTTAAAAAAAATAAAGGATAACAAAATGACTCAGTGATACTTTACAATGGTGATTCTTAGTTTTGGGAGTGGTGTCATAGACCACTTTGAAAATATGAATAAAATAATGAACTTTCTTCTCAGAAAGATGCATGCATGCATATATGTGTACATGAAACAGCACACACACACACATGCACACACCGTTTTACGTATAATGCCAGGGGCTTCATAGCTTCCCCCAAAGGGTATCTGTGGATACCTATGAGTTCACGGACTCCAGTAAAGAGCTCTCTTTATAGGGTATAAGCATCTTATTGTCTTTCTTTTTGGAAATCAGAAAATCACACACACAAAAAAACAAACAGTGATAACCTTTTAAAGAGAGGAAATGAATGGGTGGGTGACTAAGGGAGTCTTAAACCTTCCATTTTGTATGTTTTCATATTCTGCACATTCTTTTTTTATTGGAGTTTGATTTGCTAACATATAGTATAACACCCAGTGCTCATCCCATCAAGTGCCCCTTCAGTGCCCGTCACCCAGTTACCTCGTCCCCCCACCCACCTCCCCTTCCACTATCCCTTTTCATTTCCCAGAGTTAGGAGTCTCTCATGTTATGTCTTTATATTTGTACTACTCTTCTCAAAATCTCAACAGAGAAAAATTTCTGGGAAGATGGCAAAGCAGGAAGATCCTAAGCTCACCTTGTTTCATGAACACACCAAGATAACAGCCACAGCGGTGCAACCAACCCAGAGGATGACTGAAAGACTGGTAGAACAGATTTTATACTGTTAATCATAGAGAAAACCCCACATTGGAAAGGGTAGGAGGGGCAGAGATGTTGTCCAGAAGCAAATTCCTGGAAAGACTAAGTACAAACAACAGGGATGTTACAAGAACAGAGAAGGGAGAGGAGCAGACCCCACACCAGGCACTTAAGACATAGGGTCAGGAATTGGGAAGTGATACCCCCATAATATTTGACTTTGAAAACTAGTGGGGTTTAACTTCTCAGGTATTTACAATCAGCAGGAATGAACTCCAGGTACTTAAAAATCAGCAGGCTTAGCTCTGGGAGAGCTGAATATGAACCAGAGTTCCTGTCCTTTTTTTTTTTAGAGTTCCTGTCCTTAAAGTTTGTTATATGCGGGATCCCTGGGTGGCGCAGCGGTTTGGCGCCTGCCTTTGGCCCAGGGCGCGATCCTGGAGACCCGGGATCGAATCCCACATTGGGCTCCCGGTGCATGGAGCCTGCTTCTCCCTCTGCCTGTGTCTCTGCCTCTGTGTGTGTGTGTGTGACTATCATAAATAAATAAAAATTTTAAAAAATGTTATTTAAAAAAAAACTTGTTATATGCTATAACAAACCTAACAAAGAAGTTTGAAAAGTACCTGGAATATACATAAAAGAGGTTATTTACTAATCTCATAAAATGTGTCAGAGGGGCAGGGATCAGTAGGAGACTTCTCCAAGAAAAAAAGAGCTGGAAGGCACCATTTCTCTCTTCCCACCTCCTCTCACTCAACACAGATAACAGGACACTTGCAGTAGCCAGCTAGAAAATCATCCACTTGCCTTGCTAACACCATGTGCCCTGCCTCCACAACCACCAAACCTGCTCTGCAGGCATCCTTTAAATTTGCTCCTGCCAAAAAAAAATTCTGTTTGTGGCCTTGGTTAAGACTGGTACCACTCCAAAGTGATTCCAGCTCAGGGGAGAGGGCATGATAACCACATACAACAATTCAAATGTAGGCCAAGCAGACACACTAGGGGTAGGCATTGGATTGAGCAGCTTGTCTGCTGACCAACAAAAACATCTCAGGATACAAGGTAGGGAAAGTACCCTGCAAGTCGATGATAATGCAGCTGCAAAAGACAGACTGTGGGCAGGTATCTGGTTGGACTTCAGACTCTTCCCAAAAATAAACGTTTCTCAGGAGATGATCCTGAGGGTCAGTGAAGCTGCAGTCCCAGCAGAAGGGGTGAGGGTAGGCATCTAGTCTGATTGCTGACACCAATCAACTGCAAATCCATGGTAGCCCCAGACTGGCTTTTTTTTTTTTAATTTTTATTTGTTTATGATAGTCACACACACACACACACACAGAAAGAGAGAGAGAGAGAGAGAGAGAGAGGCAGAGACACAGGCAGAGGGAGAAGCAGGCTCCATGCACCGGGAGCCCGACATGGGATTCGATCCCGGGTCTCCAGGATCGTGCCCTGGGCCAAAGGCAGGCACTAAACTGCTGCGCCACCCAGGGATCCCCCCCAGACTGGCTTCTTAACACCAATCCCTGCCCACAACTATCAAAGTGGGCCATTGCAGCCAACTGGACTAAAGGCAAATGAAGATCAGCCACAACAGTAGGACGTATAAAACCCACATAAGAGATTACCCTGAAGAACTGGTTCTGGTGAATTATATTATACTACAGAGCACGATAGGTCTGCTTCTTCATAAGGACACTACTTTCAAGATTGGGAGATGCAGCTAAAATACATAGAAACAAATACAGAGAGTTACAAAAAATGAGGAGACAGAGGAATATGTCCCAAATAAAAGAACAGGACAAAACCATAGCAAAATAGCTAATTGAAATGGAAATAAACAATATGCCTAATAAAGAATTCAAAGTAATGGTCATAAAGATACTCAATGGATTTCAGAAAAAAACTGAAAGATCTCAGTGAGAACTTCAAATAGATGGAAAATTTTTAAAAAGTGGTCATAGGTAAAGAACTCTGTAAGTGAAATAAGTACACCAGAAGGAATTGATAGCAGATTAGAGGAAGCAGAAGAATGGATCGCTGAGCTGGAAGACAGAGCAATGCAAAGCAACCAAGCTGAAGAGCAAAAAGGAAAACTTAATAATAAAAAATGAGAATAAGTTAAGGAAACTCAGTGACATCATCAAGTGTAATAACATTTGCATTTTATGGATCCCAGAAGAAGAGAAAAGAGGGCAGAGACTTTATTTGATGAAATAATAGCTGAAAACTTTCCTAATCTAGGAAAGGAAATGAAAGGAAACAGATATCCAGATCTAGGAGGAATGGAAAGCTCCAAACAAAATCAACCCAGGGAGGTCCACACCAAGACACATAATTAAAATGGCAAAAAGTAGTAATAGAATTTCAAAAGCAGCAAGAAAAAAGGGAAAAAATTATATGCAAGGAAAATCTCATAAGCCTATCAGCTTTTTCAGTAGAAATGTTGCAGGCCAGAAGACATGGTACGACATTATCAAAGTACTAAAAGGGGGGAAAAAACGATGACTTAGAAAACTCTATAATGCAAAGGTGTCATCCAGAATAAAAGGGGAGATACAGAGTTTCCAGGACAACAAAAGTTAAGGTGTTCATTACCCTAAACGAGCATTATAAGAAATGCTAAAGGAAATTCTTTGAATAGGAAGAAAAAGCCATAATCAACAGTAAGAAAGTTATAAAAGGAAAAAAATTTCACAGGTAAATGCAAACATAAAAAATAATGGATTAATCACTTATAAAATCAGCATGGATGTTACAGAACAGAAACAGTAAAATCAAATATATCTATAAAAATCAGTCTGGTATTCACAAAACAAAAGGATGCACAGTATGACATCATATACATAAAATGTGTAAATGGGTGAGTGAAACTTGAATTTCTTACATTAGTTCAAATTTAGGCTATCATCAACTTAATATAGACTGTAATATGCATAAAATGTTATGTATGAACCATTGGCAACTACAAATCAAAAATCTGTAATAGATAAAAAAAATAAATAGAAAGGAATCCAAGCATATTATTAAAGAAGCCATCAAACCACAGGGGAAGAGAGTACAAAAAAAATGGATGGAGAAGAAGTACAGAACAACCATAAAACAAGTAGCAAGTACTTACCTATCAATAATTAC